CATAGTGCCTAAGGCACTTGACTGCTAACCAGGAGGCTGGCAGTTCAAACCCACCAGCCATTCCTCGGAAGGAAGGTTGGGCAATCCTACTTCCGTAGTGATAACTGCCTCGGAAACCCACGGAGGGGTCGCTATGAGTCGGGGCCCACTCGACGGCAAATAACAACAACAACATAACTCAAATTTCAGAACTTTTTCCCTTGCTGAAAAGCCATATCAAAGAAGGAATTGAGCCCATACCTAATAATGCCTGGTACACAGGTGGTTCAGCTCGGGGCAACCCAGCACACTGGACTGCAATAGCCCTCCAACCTAGCACTGCAACAATTTGGATAGATCAAGGGGAGGGCCAAAGCAGCCAGTGGGTAGAACTATGAACAGCCTGGATGGTGCTTACACACAAAAAAGATCCTATTATCATATGCACTAATAGGCAATATTTAAAGGCCTCACTCTGTGGCTGCCAACCTGGCATAAAGAAGACTGGTACGTGGCAGGGTGGTTCCTGTGGGGAAAGCAGCTGTGGGCAAACATTTGGGCCCAGACTTTAAAAGCATATGTTACCATCTATCATGTCCATCATGCTCACTCCCTCCGGCAATGCTCCAGCTGACAAACTTGCTCAGCTGTGCACCCTAACTAACTGGTTACCTGATACTGAAGTAGCTAAATTGCTACACAGAAAAATCAGCCATAAAGGACAAAGAACTCTGGGCCACTGCAAAAGGATGGGACTTTCTCATATCTATGGCCCAGATTAAAGAAGCCTGAGATCAATGTCACCATTGTTTGCTAGAAAGGAAAAAGCCAGTACCTTGGGTTGTTGTTGTTGTTGTGTGCCGTCGAGTCAGCCCTGACTCATAGCGACCCCTCCTTGGGTTTCCGAGGCAGTATCACTACGGAAGTAGGATTGCCCAACCTTCCTTCCGAGGAGTGGCTGGTGGGTTTGAACTGCCAGCCTTCTGGTGAGCAGGCAAGTGTCTTAGCCAGATAGGCCATATTCCTCACAGGCAAGCTCCAGCACAAAGATGGCAAGTAGATTACCTAGGCCCACTGCCTACCTCGCAAAATTGCCATTTTGCTCTGATTTGTACTGATACTGTAACTAGCTTATTACAAGCATACCCATGCAAATGGTGCACACAACGTTCTACAATTTGGGGACTCACTTGTCTTTGTGCCTGCTACAGCATGCCCACAGACATCAACAGTGACCAAGGCCGACATTTCAGGGCATGAAGTGCATGAGTAGGCAGATGAACATGATATTGCCTTGTACTTCCACCTATAATCCCACTGTGGCCAGAAGGAATGAATGGGCTACTGAAGCAAGCTCTAAGAAACAAGAACCACTCATTACAACAATGGACCCAGTGCCTCCCAGAAGTGCTGAGGCACATCAACGAATACCGATGGCAGGAACACTCCAGTGCCTATCAGATGTTAACTCAAGGACCTCAGCGAACTATGCAGATCTGGCTAAAAGCCACTGAAGACAACACCCTCCTTCCTGTAGTAGGTCATGAGAATAATAGGATCTAGGCACAGAGGATCATGTGATTAAACTTCCTTGGAGCTGGCAGGTAAGTCCTCGGTGGTTTGGGATTTCTTTCCCTTGGTGTGCTAGGCTAGATGTCCCACTGCTTATTACTCCTGACTACATCCAAACCCCTCACCAGCATTCTCACCTTTATAATCCAGGACCACTACTGAAAAGAGGGACTTATTTCATGAATTTATGGGCATTCACAGTACCTCCTTTAGATTATACTGGCCTCCACAAAACCAAAGGGCCGGTATGGGGGAAAGTATGAAAAGCCAGGGCAGTAATATTCGCCTGGGCATGATATTAACCTCCACTTCCAGCACTGCCTGTATACTAGTAGATCATCAGGATTTACCTTTGATTGTTCCTTTAAAGACTTTATCTTATTACCCTTAAGAGTCTCCGGCAATCTATTTGCAAGTTGGGCCCTCACCATAGCCAAAGTGCAAAACCAACCCAAATGCTGGGTTCGTGGAGAATTTCTCATTTCCTCTAGCACCAGATTGCCGTGGAAACTGCTGCCCAAGAATGGAACTCTGTAGAGTTGTCTAAACAACTAGAAGGCCATCTCTACTCCCAAACCATTTCTTCCCCCTTCTAATGTGATTTGTAATATGTTTTTACCCTCCTGGAGCTTTACCAGTAATAAGATCTCTTCACTAGTTAGGGAACAAGTTAATGTCTCCCACCCTGTAGGATGTGCTGTTTGGGATGGGTTAGGAAGGACTCATGCTGTGTCTTTACAAGTAATTGCTATCTCTCCCTGGTGTATAGAAAGGTCATCAGGTAACCACAGCAAGGATCTGGGGTGACTTTCACCATGTCTCTGCAAAAATATTATTAAAATTGATAATACCATGTAGTTATGGAAACAAATTATAAAATTGAGGCATTTCCCTCTCCATGGGGGTAGCTATAGGCCTGTGGTAATTATGGCTAGTCCTATTTACCTTATAATCAGACAGGGTGATGCACCTGGGAATGTCCTTACATCCCCAGTGTAATATACACAACTCTGCCTGCATGCCCCGCCAATTGGGATACATTTTATCACCAACACCAGCGACAGTGCCATGCCAGCTGGTGGTTTTAAATTACCCTATTATCCACAGAAACTACCTAGATGAGGAAGGCAGTTATGCAGAACCACATGGCATTATATGTTCTCACTGCAGCACAGAGAGGGACCTGTGCTCTAATTCGTACTGACTACTGTATCTATATATCCAATTATAATCACACCATTGAACAGGCTCTGCAGTACATGCACTCACATCTCTGCTATCCAGCAATTAAGTGCAGACCTCATTTTTTTTCCTGGATAAATTCTTTGCTGTCTACCTGGAAATACCTCTTATACAGAATATTAGGTTTTATATTAATTTTACTGTTTAGATGTTGCAGTCTATACTACATTTGTGGAATGTGGTTGCAATACTCCAACACCCGGGTCCAAGGAACATAGTGTAAGAGGGGGCACGTAGAATGAAAGGACCATTTTAGGGTGTTGGGGGTGGAGTGTAGGGTCAGTGACTCTAATACCTCCAAAAATGGTCTCAGACCCCATCTTGTTTAGCTGCACTTATAAGAAACTGCAAGCTATCTACTTTGTCACTCCCTGTCATGTATCAGCCACTTCCCCACTCCCCACCAGGAATTAATTGCTCTTTAGGCTAAAATTTAAAAAAAAAAAAAAACTCACTGCCGTCAATAATAAATGGAGAGAATATTGAGGTTGTCAAAGAGTTCACGTTGCTTGGTTCTACAATCGATGCCAATGGAAGCAGCAGTCAGGACATTAGGCAACATGTAGCATTGGGAAAGTCAACTGCAAAAGAACTGTTTCAAGTGCTGAGGAGCAAGGATATCTCATTGAGGACTAAGGTGCGCCTGACACAAGCCATGATATTTCCAATCACCTGGCATGCATGTGAGAGCTGGACAATGAATAAGGAAGACCGAAGAAGAGCTGATGCTTTTGAGTTGTGGTGCTGGCGGAGAATGCTGAAAGTACCATGGACTGCTAAAAGAACTAACAGATCTGTCCTGGAGGAAGTGCAGCCAGAATGCTCCTTGGAAGCAAGAATGGCCAGACTTTGTCTCACCTATTTTGGTCATGTTGTAAGAAGGGACCATTCCCTGGAGAAGGATGTCATGCTTGGTAGGGTGGAGGGTCGACAAAAGAGGGGGAGGCCTTCAACGAGATGGATTGATATGGTGGCTGCGATGATGGGCTCAAGTATAGCAGGGATTGTGGGGCTGGCGCGGGATCAGGCAGTGTTTCGTTCTGCTGTGCATGGGGTCGCTATGAGTTGGAAACGACTCGATGGCACTTAACAACAACAACAACAACTGCCGTCAAGTTGGTCTCAATTCATAGTGACCCTCCTTGGGTTTCCGAGGCAGTATCTCTATGGAAGTAGATTGTCTAGTCTTCCTTCTGATGTGTGGCTGGTGGGTTTGAACTGCCAGCCTTCTGGTTAGCAGTCAACTGCCTTAGGCACAACGCCACCAGAACTCCCATCCTTAGGCTAAATGCAAAACGTGCACTATGCCAGCAGAGCTCCATAGCCTCGGGCAATTAAATGCCCTAACTGGCAGTGTTTTTATCAGAGCAAACACAGGTGGTGCCTGGGACCCCCTCCTGAGCGGCCAGGCACCTCTGAGTCTGAAACCAGTCCCGTAGCCTTCCAGTCCTGGTCACATAGATCCCATTCCCCAATTTCTTAGACTCAGGTATAAATATTCCCAAAAGATGGGTGAGTTCTAGATCTTTGGATCCATCACAACCTGCTGTTGCCAGATCGAACTGCTAGCAAGATTTGTAAGCCTGTGCCTACTTTTCTTCCATCTATTGTCTTGTAAATGATCTGTCTCTCTTGATGCTCTTTATTCCTGTTCTAAATAAAGCTCATGTCGGTAATGACATTCCCTGGCAGACTTTTTGGTTTCTCTGAATCTACTCAAGGGAAAACTTTAAATTCCCTGGGAAATTCCCAAGACATATAAAAAGAGCAGAAAAGACACAGAGACACACACAGGGGAAGACAGACACCATGTGAGGATCATCTATAAGTCAAGGAAGGCTTACATGACTAAGACACTTGGTATTCTCTAATTTTTTTTCCATGAACACACGATACTCCTCTAGGGAGACAGGCAGTAGTGGGTGCTCACATCAGTGGTCCTGGGACAGGAGGTCCCAAAAGGTGGTGAGGGTGGAAGTGGAGTCCTAATGTCCACAGGTACAGACAATATCCAGCCCATCAGAATCCTAGCTCCACCCAACTGCACTTCCCAACCCCACACATGCAAAAGGGGTGGCCCGGCACTGCTACAGAAACCAGTGAGTGCCCATGAAAATGAGATGAGGGAAATGAAGGGAACTGGCTTTTATTCTATGGCTGGGGAGAAGCCACAGTTTGTAGAAACATTTAAACTAAAACTTGAGTACCTGACTTACCAAAAGATTCAATATCTTCCAAGTGACCAGGAGCCTTTAATCGATAATGCCTGGCTTTTCTTGAAACTTTGTCCTTTGTGTCCCAGAGCTTCAAATTTATTTTATGAAAATTTATTTTCTTTAATAATTCCTTCGTCACATTAATGCTAAAAGCTTGAGTCCATGACACCCAGATTTTGTCATCTTCAATCCATGGCTTCACGGTCTGTGTAAAGCAACAATGAGAAACTTTAACTGTGGGAAGTTAGAAGGACTCAAACATCTACAGACCTAAACATCACCCACCAACACCCTCATCTGGAGTGAACTGTAGCTATGATCTCCACCGACCCCAATTCTGGATCTGGCTCTCTACGGGTTCCAAACTCAGATCAGGAACTGGGTGTAATACACTGGGCCCTATCAGATCCCTGGATTCCTTGGAAAAAGTAAAATCAAAGCAATCATCTGCAAATAGTATCCTCTCCAAATGCTTCCAAGTACTGACCCAGAGCCAAACAACTAGCAGGAGTGTGCATGTATGTGCAGGCTTTCTTCATTTTGTTTTGATCTTTTTTCTGATTTAACCCTTTCCAAAGAAGTGTTCAGGTATTTGCCTTCAATCTCTCTAATTCTGTCTTTCATTGATTCAATTCTGCTCCTTTGCCCATTCAATGTCTTATCTATTGCTGAATATTTAGTATTAATCTTCTGGATTTCTGTGTGTAGATTTTGTATCATTTCTAATTTTTCATTTATTTTTTCATTTTGTTCTTGTATTGTCTTTCAAAATCATTTTAGGGTTTTCTCTGTGTTTTCCTTGATCTGTCTCTCAATTCATTGAAAATACCTAAATATAATTCTTTTGAATTCCTTACCAGGGAGTTCCAATGCTGCGTCTTCCTCAGGGATATATTTTGGGTTTGTATCCTGGTCCCTTGTTTCTCCTGCTTTATCTTGCTTCTTTGTGTGGACTGTGATGCTCTGTTGTCTCTGAGGCATTGTGACATTTTTGTGTTGATAATTAATTGGTGATTGTATGTTGGAGTAACTTACCCACAATTTTCATTTTCTAGTTCTGTTTGTATGTTATCTACACAAGCAGGGGACTGTGCTCCTCTATTCACTAGTTGACAGCACTTATACACTCACTACCTGTCTCCTTTCCTGTTTTTAGCCTCTCGTATGTCCCTGCCAACTTTGGCAAACAGAGCCTATTCTTAGGTCCCTGAAATCCAAATGAAAATGCTATCACTTTAAAATCCAAAATGGTTGCCACTTGTAAAGATTCAGAATGGCTGTGTCCTCGGTCATTTTAAATATCCAAAACAGCCACTGCTTGTAAGCATTCAAAATGGCTGTGCCCTCGGTCACTTTAAATATCCAACATGCCTGCCACTTGTATACATTCAAAATGGCTGCACCCTTGGTCACTTTAAATATCCTAAATGGCTACCACGTGTAAACAATCAAAATGGCTGTGCCCTCCAGACAGCGGAAAGTCCACAGCTCAGTTTGTCTCCCTTCATAGTCATAGGCCACTAGCACAGTCGTCCCCGCAGCCCTTGGTGATCAGGGCTGATCTTTACATCAATTCACAGGTCACAACACCACTTGGAAATATTCAGGCTGTTGGTCCAGTCAGAGTGGCTGATAGTCTGCAGCTCTGACCGTCTCTGTACTCACTGTTTTTGTTCAGGTTTTTCCACTAGTTGGTGCCTAATACACTTCTATATAGTTTCTTTCAAAGCCCAGGGCTCCAGGATTATCTTCTGTATCTCTGTCAATTGGTTTTTCTTTTCTTTGTTGAAGAGGGTCTGTGTTGCTTGTCTGCCTATTCCTCTATCTCATCAGAAGTCACATTCACTCATTCTTACACATTCACACTCACACACATCCAGAAAGAAAGAAATCTCAAGAGCTGTAAAGCTTTTGAAACACCCAAGAAATTACTAGGTAAAAGTATCTAAATGAAGGGAGTTCCGGCAAGATGGCGGACTAGGCAGAAGGATTGCACAGACCCTCTTCAACAAAGAAAAGGGAAACTAATTAACACAGACACAGAAGATAATCGTGGACCCCTGAGCCTTGAAGGGAAGGATACAGAATTGGACTAAACCCCAGTTAGCAGAAGAATTTGCGTGAAAATACCAAAAGAAGGAGACATACAGAGCTGCATACAGAGCTGCGGTCTGACAGCAAACAGAGTGACCCTGACAGTACAGGCAGCTCGGAGATCCCTGACTGGTGGTAGGACCTAAGAATTAACCTAAAATTCACCCGGCTAGCCAGGGACTGCGCAGACTGTGCACCGTGGCTGGGGAACAAGCAGAGAAGGTAAAGAGAAGGGTGGGCTGAGCTGTGGACTTTTGCCAGTCTGGAGATCGCTGCCATTTTGTAGGTTTAAAAAGC